GTCATGTAAACCATTGGCAGCATAGTACCGCAGTCATGTAATGGGTTGTTGGATTTGGTCATCGAGGGCTTCGTATCGCAGAAGGTAGTACCTAGGTAATAGTTCAATAAGACATTCTTCTGCAATTATCAGGACATACTCCTCCCGATGGTATGGTAAAGGTAGTAGATATAGTAGAAGGAGTAGATATAGTAAAATAGTAGATTTACTCAACCAGTGTGATACAAATTCTGTTTGCTTGCGAGACTTTGCTATGTACAGTAATATTTACAATTCGTTCCAAGTATTTACACGAAAAACTTCGCTCAACCACTAAAAGATATTGGGATCCGGACAGGCATTGAGCCCATCCATCATGTTAAACTCCCTCTCCACAGTATGTGTGCTGTTTGAAGCAATCAAATCGTAGGTTCGCATATAAGTATGGGCAAAGTTGTTGGGATCATCAGGAGTGGCTCCGGTAACAATAGTCGCATTGTACAGGGTGTAGCCTGATCCTTCGATGGGGCCGACTTTGGCAAAATCAAGAGGTATCGAGCCAACGGTTGGCGTAAAAGAGTTGAGAGGAGTTGGTACGTGGACTATCGCCTTTAGTGAATCGAGTTTGGAGTCATCACGGATCTAAATTAGTGTTATTAGCTTTAGTGGGCAGATAACTTGTAATCATGAGCAGGGGAGGCTTACCGCAACAGTCAAGTTCATCAGCCCGTTGTAAATTGTTTCAGAACATGACAGCTTTGGCTGCGTGACGATCGTATCATCAAACGGAAATCCTTGGCCACCATTCTTGTACATGGTGCTGTTGGTGACCCCGCTGCTGGTATCGACAACCTCTACGTCAAATCCAGAAACGCCCTGGGTGATGGGGATCACCGTCGAGAACTGGTACCACCAAAACGTAAGAGGAGGGTTTCCGTAGAGGACATGAGCTGAAGCGGCTGAAGCTATGCTTTTGCTAACGGTGCCAGCACCCGGATCTGAGCGGCTCTCTCCAGAACGAGGATGGAAGTGGATTTTGACTGTGCGATTTGGGTTGGCGGTTACGGGGCCAGTAAGCTGTTTGATCTCCATTAGCGTTTGTCTTGTGTTTCCTGTATGAATGGAAGAAAAAGACGTACTCTGATATAGCCAGACATGGTCATCGTTCCATTCGAGTTAATAGTGGCAAACAGCTGGGAAGGCTTTACGGCAATGGGCTGGATTGGATCCGTAAGAGCTACGCCTTTGGGAACGGTATTGATCATTCGTTCGAGGAGTGTTGTGCAGGTTTGGAAGAAGTAAGAGGGAGAATCAGCCATTTTCCCAATCTCTTTTCCTCCGTCAGAGTTGAAGATTCTGGCATCGGAGTTGGTGGTCTCATTGTGACCAAACGCTAGCGGATTCTGCGTAATATTGTTCACGAACTGAACAGCACTGACTTTCAGTTAGTTGAGGTCGTGCAAAGGAATAAATCTCATCTTACACAGTGTTATCAAACCCGGTGAACCCCGTGTTAGTTGTGTCGAATGTCTGCGTGTTCTGGTCCGTCGCCTGTGCAAAATGGTCAGCCCACTCAAAGTTCTTGTATAGCTAGCTCTTCGTACAGGTATATATAACAACCAGGCTCTACTATCCACATGGTGACTTACTGCATTATTAACGACTGGGACAATCTCGGGAAAATCCACGCCATGAACACCTCCGAGGGTATGGCCACATGCCACCAGTCCAATCATCTCCTGTGGCGTGAATCCTTGTCTCTGGAAATTGGTGATGTGCTCGTCCAAAGGCTCCTCTGGCTTGGGCACACCTGTCGCACCAGGCCCTGTAGCATCAACTCTGCCCGCTCGAAAAGGAATCTCAACGCTTCCATTTGAGCATCCATTCGCAGCAAACACTGCGCCCAAGGCGATCAAGTCTGCCATGGATGAACGAGGTGTGAGAAACGCGGCTAGATTCACAAGCGTCTCGTTGAATCCAATACCGGGATTCTCATCGCGGTTCACCTCAAACCCAATGGACGCGTCGAGACCTCCAATTCCGGTCACGACATCCGCAGTTGCCATATCATGGTATGCTGTTCGCAGCCACTCCGCAGCTCCATTGCGGCCAGTGCCAAAAGGGACCTTGTCGCAGGGAACGATAAAGGTCGCTGGCGAGTTGCCAGATCCAAATCCCTGCTGCTCATAGAGCATAGACTCGAGCAAGTCAGTCTTAGCATTGGGCCAGATATACTCACTCTCAGCATAGGCAGAGCCGGCCACCAAGCCGAGCTTGGTGATGGCAGAGAGGACGCGGTTGGATAGCACCATTGTACCCAATTCGAAGCGCGATACACTATCGAAATTTACAGATTGCACGAGCGTATAAGCTTAATAGCTTTAGGGGTCCCCAATAAGGGGAGAGCATCATATATACAAGCATATTCAACTTTAATCGACATGATTCGGGACTGGAGCCGGGAGTAACGTTGAACTCATTCTTGGTGCGTCCCATATTCTTGGCCAAAACGCGCCCCTGGTTTTTGTTGGTCACTATCCCTGGATTTTGATCACCTTCCCATTGAGGTCTAAAGGCGCGCTGAACGAAAATTTTCAAGAAGTGAAGGCGCAAATGGGGATTTTAAGTGCAAAGGAAGATGATGTGCAGGCGCATGTAAATAATGCCCTCGACGCTATTGGATGCCCTGGCGTAGTGGTCAGCTTGATTATATACTACAGTAAAAATGCAAGGATAAATGCTAACGACCTGCCTATAATTTTTATTAAAGGGCCGTAGGCACGTTATAAACAAGCAGTTGACTTAACAAGTATAGTTGAGTGAGATTTTAGCATACATGTACAAGGAGACTCCGAAGTCTCCTGTACTACCTAAAGCAATTTAAAGTCCGATTCCTGCTGCCTTGTGCAAAATCCATCGCCCATTTTGGGACGCATCGAACCATATTAGTGCGAAAGCCCCTGGCTATCAGACTCGGCTAACGTTACCAGGCATGTAAAGCTGACTCTCTTAAATACCCAAACAGTATAGGGCCGAGAAGCGACGGCAATATGTATGGTGTATTGCTATACCAGTCACATGGAGACCTCACGTCTATTTCGGCGATGCAAACTAACAATGATTCAGACGTAGACTGTATTGGAGATGATGTACTTAGCAAACAGAATATATTGTTGATGCTGAGAATCCATCGCCCGTTTTTGGACGTGCCGAGCCAGATCGTACTATTAACTCGTGCAATAGGTTCAAGATAGCTTCTGTTTCCACCAAGCCTAGGAAGAGGCAAAAGAAGTACTTGAGGTAAAGTTACACATAATGAAAATGTAAAATGCCAAACAGCAAATGGTTTCTATTGCCTCTAGTACATGGTTCAATACAGAGCGCATCTACCCGATTGGAATATGATGAAACATTCCTTGAGGAAGTCAAAGTATGATCTGGCCCATGCGAAGATAATAAAATATTCCATAGTAAGTAAGCAAAGAGACGAGCGACTCCATTGAATAGCGAAAAAGCAGAACGTGGTTGGCGGCGGTGGCTGTCCATGGTATCTTGGTCTCTCTAGTAACCTTGGCTCATAGAGTTGACTCGATCAAGGCATGTAAGAGAAACTTTGCTCGCGTCGGCGTTCCCCACGCTATTCTCCGGCCTTGGTCTCTTTTCCGACTGTGCTGAGTGACTTGTATATGGAGATGTCAGCCTTTGAAGTTGATCCAAGTTGACTTCAGGGCCTTTTCCTTCATGTTTATCTCCTTTTCGGTCTGGGCGTGCTGGGTCTGTAGCTTCTGTATCTCTTCCTGTAGCTTCTGTGTCTCTTCCTGTATCTTCTGTGTCTCTTCTAGTATCATCCCTAGCTCTTCCGCCTCAGCCGCACGCTTCTTCAACATCTCTTCCTCCTCAGCTCCCCCTTTTTTGACTTTTCAATCAATATCTGGAACATATTCCAAGACGATTCAAGAGTTTCTCGATCATCAGGTTGCTCTTGCCCAATAGCGATGGCGGCGCTCGCCTGGTTGCGCAATTTATCGGCCAGCTTGCTCGTCTTGGGACTCATGTTCATCTCCTCCCGCAACTTGCCGATAGATTCAATAACTTGGGCTTCCAGGCGTGCCGGTTTTGGTGATTTGCTCGGGTCCGCTGGTGAAGTCATGGTTGTTAAAGGCTCAAAAAGTTGTAGCCGAAATGGTCAAAGGTGTGGTGCTTTGGTGCAGGTGCAACACGCAACAGGAGAATATGCGGATGATCCTAGGATATATATAATCGCTGAACTTTAAACTTTTCGATATGAGGTTGTTTTCCGAAAGTCTATAACGTGTAAGTAGGTATTCTCCCTGTTGGAAGGATTGGGTTTCAAAGTTTGGCTTTGCGTTGGCGGAGTGGTGGCTACTTAACCTTTTGAAATGCTACTTCTGCTACTTCTGCTATTGCTTCTTAGGAATTGCACAATTGATTCAACTGAGCGATAGAAGCATTGGAATGGGGCACGCTGGCGAGAATGAGCAACTGGACATGGAGATTCATAGTCTATCGAGATCAAAAGAGCTCCGTTGAGCCTTTAATCACTGAGCACTGGTGTCTATTATTGCTGTTTTGGCAAAGAGTAGTGAATTGAATTGGAGTACGCAAATGTTCCAAGAACAGAGGATGCACATGAGTCTGTGTCGCTTTAGTTCAAATGATCAGAAGCTTAATTGTAATGGTCAATGCTTGCTGAGGTTTATCTTGCGTCGTCGCTAAATTGAAGAGGACACCTGTCAGTGTAATATCTGGTTCCTTAAATTTTGTACGTTAGTGACATAATAAAGCAACTGGGAATACCTGCGTGGCGCAAACAGGCTTCCAAGTAATGAGGAGCCAATTACACGCATCTCTCATAAACACCCCGCCCGTCTGCCCCTCATCTTGGGCAGCAACAACACATCGTTAATTAACCAAGCTCGCCAGCTTCAAGCTGTTGAACGGATAAGTATCTCCATCGCGGAGACAGCAAGAGACCAGGGACATACGCTTACAGACCCAAGATGTCGCAAACAACCGCTCTTGCATCCGAGGGCAAGTTTGCGTATGGCAATGGCGTCTTCTTCGCGGAAGCATCCAACCGCAGTCAACACCGTCGAGCCAGTAAAGAGGAATTGGTCGCACATTTTGCGTCTGGAAGCGACAAAGACCACACCGCGCATTGGTTCGAGGCGCAACTCATCCATCATGGGCTCCAGCCTTCCAAGGTGAAGTCTGTAGCGCGCATGCGGCTTTTTGATGCCGTCCGACAAGGGACTTTGTCTGTGCCTCCGCCCATCAAAGATTTGGAGAAGAAGCTGAAGAAAGAGTGGACGAAGCGCGAGAGGGAAGATAGGAAGAAAGCAACAAAGGGGCTTGAAGCCGTAGCTGCATCGCAGGCTGGGCCCTCGCGAAAGGCTACGACTGGGAAGAGGAAAGCTGATGTTACCGTCAACGTAACGATCAATACAAACTTGCCAGCTCCTACTCCAGCCAAGAAAGCCAAAACATCTAAATCATCGGAGAAGGGCTCTGCTCCAGCACGCCAATATGCAACAAAGCAAACTGCTCGCCGTGGCAGCACTTCACGAGCATCGAGCCGCCCAGAACCCGCCTCACGCACTGCACCAGCTCCCGTCCCCCGAGTGAGACAAACTGCGAGACGCAGTCGTCCATTCACTCCGCGGGGACGTATCCAGTCCTCGTACCAAGGCGGTGGATATAGCGATTATACGGACCCCTTCGACGAGCCACCTCCGCCATATGAAGATAGCTACGAAGATGAAGATAGCCAAGAAGAGAGACATCGCCCCGTCCAAAGAGCAAGCCTCACACCTCTTGGTCTTCTGAATGGCCGCTACGATATCAGTTCCCGTTCCGTTGATGAGGAGTGGCCCCAGTATGCATCAGGACTCGATCTTGTGCTTACTATAGCTGGTTCTAGCCTATGGGGGAAATTTGACCTAGGTATCATCGAAGGGGTGCTGTATTTTGAAGAACGACCTCGCAAATCGTCGCTGGATGCAGTGCAGTTTTCTTGGCGTGGTCGTGAGGCCGAAGGGCCCATTTCTTACGATGATAGAAGGAACAGGGGCTGGATCAAATTTCTTGGCGGCGGTCACATCGAAGGATGGATTGACCATCTAGATATCTACTTTGAAGGTGATCGAATGGCGGGCCAAGGGACTCGAAGCGAGGTTGAGGCGAGGAGCATGCAGAATGAGTGGAATGGATACACGGAAGACGAATATGAGCAAGAGAGTCGAGCGCGCTGGGGATAATCTGACTTGCCACGCTATTCTGCTACAGAGCCTGGTATCAATATTCTAATCTATGGGCGATTCTCATTGCCACACGCCAACATCTCTTGTCAATTTGCTTCCATCTACCAGTTTCCAAATTCGTCCTTTGAAACATCCATTGCAGTCTGCTTGATCTTCTCCATGAGTAGGCTGGGAAGCACCCCGATTTGACCTGATCGCGTTCCCAAAGCCTTGGCACTGGATTCCAGAAATCGATGCTCGAAAGTATCCCACACTCTCTGATCCGCCGTAGCCGACTGACCAGGCTGAGGATAACATGGGTCATTGCCCCAAAACGCGTTGCAGGCTTGTTCGATGCCGCTTTTGTCAAGCGTCAAGTCCCTGCACAAGTCAAAGTCCAGTATCCACATGGTATGCGGACCTAATATGCCGGTATTATGAGGGTACGCATCCTGAGGTGATTTCCGGTGGTGTTGGCAGCAGATGCTCGGTGGACTTCGCGGCCGAGCAAGCACAAACTTGACATCATTTCCATCTACTCTTGCAACCCAGTGCATGAAAGCAAGAGCATCTGCCATGACAATTGCGTATTCACAGGGATCAAGGCCCAACTTTTCCATCTGATCCAAGTGCAGTGGGAAGTTTTGAAGGCTGAAAGCTCGCGGGCGCTTCCACTTTTTCTGTTCTGCTGTATCATTCTTAGGATTGCGATACCTTCGACGGCGTAGATATGGTCGAATAAGACAATGTTCGTTGGTCAAGTTGTTCATGACTCTCTTTTCATCTATATCAGAACTGAATTTCCGTATGAGCAGTCTCCGAGTAGAGACTGGAAACGGTATGATCTTCTCGCTAACAATAGCATTGCGTCTTGTATATGTGTCGTGTAATCTTGGTAGGATGTCGTTCCATACTGCACTGTTCTGCGCATCTAGGAAGCCGAAAGAGCGAGGGATGTCGAATGGAAGACAGCCCAGCGCAGATGCTCTAAGGAGTTTTTGATGAATTTGTAACTCATGAGAAAGTGACCGACCAGTGCTGCTGTTTTCTTGTTTCATGGCCAGATGGCTATGTCCGCTGCAACCTAAGCAAGGAGCCGCCCAGACTGTTCCACAGTTGCCTTGGCCTATTTTGTCTAGTTGAGTCGTGTCATGCGCAACAGACAGCTCTTTGATGTTCGGTAGCGTATCCATGGTGTGTGAATGTACTGGGTATAGCTGCTGAAAGACATCCGATTGTATGAGCAGTCTGGGATCGATACGAAGAGGCTGGAATGACTGACGCCCAAGTATTGGCTGCGTAACGATGGCTCTAGCTGCGACGTATGGTTTAAATTTTGGAGGTAGAGAAACAAGCATTTTGTTAACAAAGAGTTGTCCCAGCGACAGCCTGCGCGACCAAGCGAGCGCTCGCCATCGCCCGTTGGCAGGGGCGCCTTGCGATGCAGGTTGAGCTTCGTTGAACCATATTATAATAGACATCATATCATATTTACCAAGTTAGATTGTGTTGCCAATGCTGAGAAGGTACTGCGCTTTTTCGATGTGTAAAGCGATATCAATGAGAGAGTCCTCTATGGCTTTCAACCGCTCGGCCGCGCTGAATAACAATAACAAGCATTAGTTCGACTATGCGTAGGTACTATGTCCCTTGCATCATTTTACAGAAGCAGCTATTCACTTTGAAACTCAGAGCTACATGCGTGAAATCTGCCGACTTAAAGATAATCAAGTTTATGTATACAACGCTATCGAAACCAAAAACGAGTTTTGTGGCAGTTTAGGCTACAGGATTGCTCATTCGTTCTCCTCGCATGCTAGAATCCTGACATCACTGCTAACACGGTATCGAAATCCCATCATTTCACCATCTTCGCAAAGCTCACAAAAGTCAGCCGAGCTAAATTTCTCCTCATAATGGCGGAGCATGTGTTCGGGCTCGACACCTCCAAGCATATCATCGAGTTCAGCCAAGAAGTCAAGTGCAGACCATTTTTTGGTGGAGTCATACTCTTTCTTTGACCTTTTGTCAACTTCGACGAATTTTCGGTCATTTGCATAGAACGTCATGTGTTCACGCCAAGGTGAACGGGGGCGATCCTTTCCAAGGCCACGTTTCAGGGGGTCTCGTTTTAGGCCGTAATCGATGAGCCAAATTGGATCATCCCGGTAGCCCCAAGCTTTTGATTCCAGGATATAGCGAATAAAGAGACCTCGGGAGCTTTTCTCCTCAAAGTAAGCGCGAAAATCTTGAGGACAGGATACCACCATAAGGTCGTCGCACCAGCTCGAATCATACTCAAACGCCATGTTTTTGATGCCATGTAAGCCCGTATCGAGATTTACCATACAAATATCTTCCGTGAGAAAGATATCTTTCCGATAGTATCCTATAGTAAGCGGATTGAGCGGTTGGATGCATAAAAGATCTCGATTGGGACGGATGGAAAAGCGCCAGTCTTCATCTCTCCGCGGGAAGATAAATGGGACGCAAGCATCGACATCAGGATCGGAGGAATGTTCGCCTTTGCTGTCTTCCAGAAGCTTTGCCGCCCAGTATTCCATCTTATAACGGTCTTCGATAATTTTCCGAGATTCGTTGCATGCGCTCCACATACCAAAATCCCAAAGATAGGAAGACGGATTGTTGTTGGTCCAAGAATGACTGACGCCAAATTTTGGTGCAGCGAGGTAGTAAGTCTCGCCGTGATTGCGTTTGCAGCGGGATCCCAGATCACACTGGACTCTCAGATTCGCAAGCTCGTCGCCATCTTCTTTGAAGTTCGTCACCGAGAAGAAATGAACACCGGGACGAGAAGCGTTGCTCGGCCGCAAAGCATATTTCCAGATTTTGAGTCTGATCTCAGTTGGAAGAGAGATGAACTGATGGAATTCTGATTCCATTTCGTGCGATATGCACCAATCAATAAACTTGGGCTGACTTGGAGGTACTCTGTCGGGTAGAGAAAACAGTATTGGTTGAGCAAAAACAGTAATGGTTGAGCGAGAAGTTGCAAGAGCCCACCGCTGTTATATATAGAGACTCTAGTATCCACAAGCGCCACGCAACTATGCAATGACTCTTACATCCATCATGTGGATAGCCATTTGGTAGTTACCTAGTAGCTGGCTCATGAGGCTTAACAAGTACCTCAAACTCAACTCTAAGCGATCAATAAGCTTTCCACGCTATACAAGTGAGAAATAAGAAGAAATAGGGAATTCCATGGCCATCAACATAGCTCTGATCCTTCATGTACTAAGTACTGCTTGATCAAGTATAATAATTATAATTACATCTACTACAAAAAGAGTAAAGACAGTAGACATAAGTAGATATAGTAGATATAGTAGATATAGTAGATATAGTAGATATAGTAGATATAGTAGATATAGTAGATATAGTAGATATAGTAGATATAGTAGATATAGTAGATATAGTAGATATAGTAGATATA